ACATAGAGGGTGTTTATTATAAACATATACATGTGAAAAGTTTGTTCCTATAAATATTTATCATGAAACACAAACCTATCATTTAATTTAGAGAAATACCTCCAATAAACACAGAGGGTACGAATATTTATGAGACTGACTGCATGCATAGAGTTTAAATTTTATTTGTATAATTGAGTTTCTTCCTAGCCGGCCCATTCTCCTGTCTCTCAACAAGCGTATCGCTTCGAACACCTTCGCTCACCGGTCCGTCCGTTTGATTTTTCCAGCAGTGTTCTCTACACCCTCGAATTCCAACGCCACGAATCCATCGATCCCTGAGCAATTCCGAGACGTCGTCAAGATGAACGATTACCTGACGACGGGACGCCGCCAAGAGTTCTGGGAGGAGCCGTTCACGCGACGCGTTATGGACGCCATTAAGAGCAAAGAACTGGAAATGAAGACTGCCGCCGAGATACTTGGCGTGTCCTATGGAACCCTCTACGGCAGATATCGCGACAGTTATGGCTGCCTGAAGCATCCGTATAGGTAAATGGAAGCCGCGCTCGATGGTTCTCGATCCTCCTTTGTCGCGACCGGTTACTGCCTTCTCTGTGCTTTACGAGCAGACCTCGCGTTAGAGCCACGGCCACTAGTTACTTCCACTTCGAGGAATCGCGATTTCGAAACGCCTTAAGTGCCAATTAACCCTTTACTGTCCAAATCGTGTTTAGCTTCTGACAGAATTCGACGATAGAGACATCGATGAACGATAATAAAGGGAACGTGGGAGTGCAAAGTCAGGTTTCAGCGTATAATAGAATTTGCAAATTAAAATAAGTCATTCATAGCGTATTCGTTCTTCTAGTTTCACACGCCACGAAATTCTTAACACGTTCCGTGCCACGTTTACTACCTGTAATACACGCAGACATGTTTATTTAACTCGCTGAAAACGTATATTTTATGACAAATTTAATTCTGTAAAATATATTTCCACCAAACTGCCCTAAATCAGCGAACTATTTATGGATTGATGATGTAATGAAATATTGTGTGATAATATATCAATCTTGTCGCGGCTTGGCGCGGAACGTGTTAATCGAGTCTTCTACATTTAGAATCTCCACATCATTTTCTATTCATAAATGATTTAAGATCAGCGTCTTTGCGACTTCCCCGTCCTTCAGTTCAATCCAAATCTTCCCACGTTTATCTCAATTACCTTACTGGAGCTTACGGGGATGGTACCCCATCTCTCTGATCACTCCGTGTGAATCTGCTCCTCCCTAATGTATCACCTCCACTGTCAGAGGACTCCTCGCAAGTTCCAAACTCCACTCCCACGTTTCTCTCCTCTCGCCTCAGACAAAGGACAGTGATCTCTAATCGACGAATCCTTGGACGCGTTTGTTCGCAGAGTAAGGGACTTCTGGTCCGAGCCAGGCCCGGCGGAGGTGCTGGCCAAGCTCCGAAGGAAGGAGATCACGTTGTTCCGCGCCGCAGAGTTCCTCAATGTGACCGTCCATACGTTGGCGACCTATCTGTCGACGCTGCAGGGCCCCGACAGGATCTCCCTGGCCGGGGACCTGAGCGTGGCGTCGGGCGCGATCGACGGGAACAACGAGACGCCGGAGAACAACGACACGATGAACGACATCCTGCAGAAGATCAACGCGAACGCGGCCACAGCGGGGACACCGCCGTCGTCGACGCCCATCAAGCGGGAAGGCGGCGGTTACATCGACGTGCCGACGGCGGTGCCGAAGGCCGCCACCTCCGTCCTGGAGAACAACCCTGACATCACCATCGTGAAGACGGAGAACACGCCGCGCAAGCGAGAGTACGCGAAAGTCTCGAACACGGAGAACAACAACGCAAAGCTGATGAGCGGCGGCGCGGTAAGCGAGGTGACGCAGCAAACCACGCAGCAGCAGCAACAACCGTTGCAGCAGCAGAAGATCACCGACCAGTTGTCGTTGAACAACGACAACAGCAAACCCTAACTATTCAGGCCTTATCTGCAGCCGGCGAATCCCCGTGCACCGAGCGCTAGCTACAACAGGTCCGAGCTGTGCCCGCGCAGTTTCTACTCGAACGTGTTTACCCGCTTTCTCACGAATTTTCATTTGAAGTAGAAGAAAAGGGGACACCGCGTGCCCCGCTGAGAAACGTTATCATCGTCGCTGCCTTCTCCTCCCATTCGTTGACGCTCCGCCGCACGCCAGCAGAGAGTAGCTTTTAGACAATCTCGCGTGTACGATCGTCCTCGTGGCACCTGGCTGGACGTTGCATCGAGGGAGAGCCTCGAGTTGATCGGAGATTCAAAGACAGGGGGTGTACAGGCCGGGACGTCCCGAACAGGCCACGCGAAATTCAGTTGACTTTTAGGCGGTAGACGGTACCGCTGCCCAACGGATCTTGCTTGGAATTATGGATAAGGATGAACAGAATTTTTGTGTATTATTGCTGCGAAGGGACACCTACATCCCTCTTAAAGCGAAGGCTTTTTGACCCATTCGCTGCCAACTACGAGGTATAACGCAGATTTATTGCATTTGGTCCCTGTTTCTAGCCGTTTGAGTTAGGAATTCTTAGAAAGGGTAAACAAGAATTTTATATAATGTTTTTATTTAAAATAATAATTTTAATATAATTTTTTACTTACATTACACATCTTAATTAAATCTTGAAACGCTCTTAAGGGAGTGGACTCCCGTGTCTTGTATGTGTTGGTACGCACTCACATAGCTCCACATCACTGTATACGTACACGGAACTGCAAGGGCTCGCGTATTATTCTATTTTTGTCTCGACAATGCAAATTTGAGACCTCTCAATAGTCGTTTCCGCTAGATAAATGTTCAAACTTGTGCGCAAGCTTCTATAGGTAGTCTATAATTAACAGCGTATTCAGCAACGTACGTTAGTTCAGACAACGCGGCAGGACTGTCGCATCACCATATTGCTTCTTTTGATCGCGAAATAGTGCTGAATATTATTAATTATGACACAAAAAAGTAAAAGTAGACTCTACCTATAGGAGCTTGCGTACAAGTTTGAACATTTATCTAGCGAAACCGACTATTGAGAGGTCTGAAATTTGCATTGTCGAGACGAAAATAGGACAATACGCAAGCCCTTGCAGTTCCGTGTACGTACACAGTGATGTGGAGCTGCCTGAGTGCGTACGAGCGCATACAAGGCATGGGAGTCCACTCCCTTAATTCGCTTGGCAGCGAATGGGGCTAAACAAGTACGACTGCATGTTTTCTAACCCCAAAAGAGGACAAGTTTGTTCGAGGTAATTAGTACCGCTCCAGCCTGAGTTACAATCCGCTGCGAATCTCTGGTTTGGATATTTTTAGAAGCAAATGGCAAGCAGGATTCGTCCGAACCATATTTACCCATCGCCGAAAGTTATTCGGGTGGCCTGCTCCGGGTGCCCCTGCGTACACCTTTGGATCTCGCACCCACGGGTGCAACACCAGCCGCGTAATATATTTTCCGAGTGAAGAGAGACAGAGTGTGTCCGAACTAGAGAGCGATTCCTTCGCAAAAGTTAGTACCTAGCGATTATACGTACATGGTTCTTCGTTACTTCAGAATTGGTTCGCTTAAATCCAAGTCGCCGGTAGCCGATAATATGTCGATCGTGTTTTGGCCTTCGGTAGCAAGGAAGCGGGGGCGAGACGAAAACAAGGGAATGAAACAAAACGTGTAATTAAAAGTTCAATCGAAGTTCCTTTTGAATAACGATGCGCGTAGGGTGTATCGCGAAAAGAATGCCTAGACTATTTTCTGCCGCATGTGTCTGTATGGTAGCACGTAAAGAGCGACAATATTATTCACCCTACACCCCCCTCAACCCTCCTGCCCCGGCCCCTGTAGATCGATCGAAGTATAGCGATCCTAGCCCAGAGGTCCTTCGAAGGAATAGACGTTTCTCGTGCCGCGATCGTCGCGATCCGTAAGCGAAACACTGTTGAAAAATACACCGCTGCAAACTCGAAGAAGCCTTAACTATCGTTAGAGTTCGGAAAAGTGCGCGTTAGCCGACAAGATTCTAACGTATCATTTTCGTATGCACACGCTTCCACCGTGGAACAGTGATTCTTAATATATTTTATTAGATAATTTTATTTAATTCAGGTTTCCATGTCTCGGTTCTTAAGAGTTGATAGTAACTAAGGCTTCCAAGTGCAAGCCGTGTTCTTTGGGAATCAAACGATACACTGATGTGCAGAGATAATCGAAACCTAACCTAAGCTAGCTGACCTTAGACCAGTTTAACATAACATAACCCAGATCATTTTTTTTTTTTAAATCAAAACATTTATTGACCACACATCTGTTGTGCCTTGCACAATCGTAACAATACATTATTGAAAGATCCGAGGTAAATATCTACAAACTTTGCTGAGAAAACATTTACCTTCTCTCTGTAAAGAAAGCTTTGCAATCTTTCCTGGATCAGCCACTGTGAGTGAATCCACCTCGAACCATTTGGTGGTTCCCGCAGAGATTAGTTTGCCACTATCCTTAACCTTTTTGGAACAATTGGAATAAAGATTACTGATCGTGGCAATTAACGAATGCATTGATCTGCCTACTTCTAAAGTGTACTGTTTCCCTGAAAAATATTCAAAGAATACATTGTCAAAGGTCTTTGTTCGGTATCAACTAAATACCGGTATAGTTGATATCTGCCCGTAATTTGAGGCAAACATTCTTGGTTGGTTGGCTGGATAAAATTCTGAATAATAAATCTGCTGAACAGGATTGAATTGGACGAAGCTCTCGCAAGTGTTGGTCCTCTGCATGCATGTTCCTAGCTCCTCCCTAGTATGTCAATTCTTCGTATTGGTAATTTGAGCCAATATACTGACATCTTCTTTGTATGTCCCCAATGGTATGTGATCTGAGCGGCTTGTGCTTCATTAAATAATCCAGTCATTTCCCAACGAAACGACTGAAACTTTTTGTAAAATAGAAAAGCACCTCTGCCTTTGAAACTGCACACACTTTTAATCTCTGGGTTGCTTTTAAGAATTTGGACGAAGGCATTAGGAGAAGGAAACATGTACGTGGCCTGTGTAGAGGTGGTCAGTAGACATAAATCTCCTAGGTAACATATCAATGTCCTAAAGTCTTCTGACTTTCCGCATTTTATAATCTGGAAAATATTGTCTAAATACGGTACATGGGCCAGCGCTCTTTTGGCAGCTATTTCCCACTGGTGGGAGAACCTCGGATCTGATCTTATGTAATCAATTAGCACCGTCAAGGGCCCCAACGATTGTTTCAATATTCTCCTTTGTTCGGGACGAAAGGTAGACCCCTCCATCAGAATATGATGGCGTTCATACACTCCGTATTGCGACACCTCAAAGTTGGTTGATTCCCCGTCTCTTCGTACTACCATTTCATGACGACCGAGACATAATTCAGAAAATCTCAAGTCGAACCCACGCAAGCAGCACATGAGAGTGTTGGCTAGACCATACCAGTTTGCCTGGTCATCGAACTTAAATCTCTCAAAGGGAATACCTTCCTCTTGAGCTTTTTCCGAGACAAGTTTGTAACAGACTTCTTTTTCCACCGAGTAACTATTTCCTCTAAATGTTACTTGGAAACTAGTACTTGTAATCCTCGTCTCCAAAATGTTGTCGACGCGTTGTTTTAAAACTGCGTAACACTGAAATAAGATCTTCTGGATCTGACAACCTAGACTTATGTCGAGACAACTGTCTCTAGGGAGCTTTAGCAAGTCATAAATTCCTTCATGGGATGCTATAACAAAATCAATGATCTTCGTTTTCTTGTCGCGGTCATCATTGCGTGGTTTCTTTGGGTCAATAGTCTTCTGGTTAGGATCGTCCGCATCAGCTGTGCGCTTAACAGCTCTGTGTTTCAAGTCCAACTGCCACCTCTACATCTTCTACAGATAAAGTGCTGGAGGCCATCTTAGAGAGCTTTTCTGTAAATATCAGTGGGAATAGTAAAAGGATCTGTTTTTACCAACTTTGACCTAACTCAGACCTAATTTAGACGAATCAGTCCTAACCTTATGTTATTCAAAGGATACGGCTGCAACCGTATCAGTAAATATCATCCAGTAATTCTTACCTTTCCTAAGTCGGTGGTTTAGAAGATTTTTAGTATTTTTGTTGAGCTCACAAAACGATTTGACAAAGGTCTTGATCAAGAGTTATCACAACAGTTTAACGATAGTAAGGTTTCGCCTTGTATTTTAAATCAGTTTTTACGAGCTCCGATATTTTAACGCTTTCGACCTTTCCTCTAAAATCATCTTCAGGAACACGTAATTCAAATTGAATTAGATAGATTGTTAATATAATTAAAATTCAACACCGTGTAACCTTGGGTTTATCGGATTCTTGTAACGCGAACTTGAAGTGCGTCGCAAGTGAAGTTAGCGTTATCGTTAGAAATTATAATATCGTTGAGTCTTTTGTTTTTCTATCGACAGCAAGTCCCCCTTTTCTAGATAACGATTTATGTAGCGATATTCCTACGTTGAATACTTTAATAACGTCAAGTTTTAAATTACCTATGAGGATCGAAAACGATCGAGTTAAAATATCGAATTATCATAGAGACTACTTAAAGTGTACAACGATTAAGAATCACTGCCACGTCATTTTGTAAAACGATACGAGTTCTATTTTCTTTTTTCCTCGCACAGTCTCGTGTCTATCGCTTCGTCCCCCTTTTGTTTTCTTACAAACGGTACATGGAGTAGAATTTATCGCACGTAGAGGAGGGGTACATTTTAGAATCGACGTTTAGATATTACGCGCGAGCTTTCCTTTTTCTCTAATCTTTTTCTTCTTTTTTTATATATATATATATATATGTATATGTATATGTTATACGCTGTAGAGAATTTAAGTGGCTTTTATTTAAGCGACGAATCGATGTCAAAAGGTGATTTATCTCGAGAGGAAAAAAAAAAGGAAGAAGATACGTACGCGCATTAAACGTCCATTGTAAATATCGGTGCAAGTAGCGAGACCTAAAATTAATCTTATATATTATTTCGCCGCGGGTGTATACGCGCATGCGCGAGCGCGCGCTTTTTTTAAATCGGGTGAAAAGACGAGAAAACGGTGAAACGAACGGAAAGGGATGTATACGACTGGTTTTTTTTTTTT